TTTTTTTTTTTTTTTCCCTTCAGTGAGGGGTAGTTTTGAGACAGGATCTTGCTGTGTGGCCTGGGCTAGCCTCGAATTCACAGTGATCTTCCTGCCTCAGCCTCCCCAGTGCTGGGATCACAAGTGTGCGCCACCACACCCAGCTCAGCCCTCGATTTTCAAGGAGTGCTCTCTCCTCATCCAGAGTGAGTATTTCGTTTGTTCTCCAACATTCGTGCATCCGTTCCTCTGTTAATTACTGGGTATCTGCTGATCTTTCACCATTCCTCACTCTTTCAATTCCAAGACAGTCATGGTGGTGCACGCCTGTAATCCCAGCGCTCGGGAGGCTGAGGCGGGATGATCACTATGAGTTCGAGGCCTGCTTGGGCTACGTAACAAGACCCTGTCTCAAAAAACCAAACAGAACAAAATTTCAGTTCCAGGTTTCCATTTGTACACTTTCTTTCTGGGGGAGGGAATACTTTCCTAACCCATGTAATCTGCCTCGGGGTCTGTTTCTTCGCCTCCACACTCTGCCTGAGGCAAGTTCTCCTGGTTACCTGAAGGTCATCTTTCTTTGGGTATTATATAACCCTCTCAAGCTGAATTTAGGAAGAGCCCCGTTTCCCTTACAACACACTCCTTGTTGCTTCTTAAGTGCAGGAAAAGGGCACAACATTTAAAGCATCTGTACTTGCCTACACGTCCTCTCACCCAGCATTTTCTGACCCCCCCAGCCCCCCCAGTGACACCATCCTCATCTTCCTCGCCAGCTAAACCCTGGATCATTTTGTGTTCTGGAGCTGCCCTCGATTCCCGGGTATCCATTTTACCAAACTTTAAATCCGTGCCCTAAAAATGAGTTATTTTTGCCCCTCAAAAATTCTTCCTTTGGGCAGGGATTTAGCTCAGTGGTTCCGCTGCCTGCCTCGCAAGCACAAGGTCCTGAGCTCCATCCCTGGTACCAAAAAAAAAAAAAAAAAAAAAAAATTTTTTTTTCTTTGCTTATTCCCCCTTCTTACCTGTTACCAAAATAGCCATTTCCCTCTTCCCTCTTTTTTCTTTACCCAGCTCTGCCTGTCAGTTTCTCTGTACTATCCCCAAACACCCACATTGTGCTTTCAGAATTCCCCTTAAGCCCCGGAATCCTTCCTGATTAAATGTTCAAAATTTCTTTTAAAAAAATTTCAGAATTCTTTGTTTTAACTTTCCCCTTTCCTTGCAGAAGATAAACAAACCACTGACAATATTGCTTTCTAGGAGTCGCTGTCTTTGTCAGATTGTTTTTTTGTTTTGTTTTGTTTTTTTTGTACCAGGGATCAAACTCAGGTCCTTTGCACTGAGCTAAATCCTTATTAAAAATCAGGGATTTTTTTCATAGGGGATGTGTTTTGAGTCTATTAGTGACATAAACAGCACAGTACCCCATGGGCTGTATTCTAAGTCCAGTGACATTTATTGGGAAGGTGCTAGAAAGTTATTGAGGGGACTGGGTGTGGTGGTGCAGGACAGTAATCCTAGCATTCCGGTAGGCTGAGGCAGGAGAGTCACAAGGGCAACATAAGGACTTATAGACTTTGTTGCAAAATAAAATATAAAAAGGACTAGGGATGTAGTTCAATATCACTGAGTTTGAATCCTAATACCACCAAAGGGGGGGGGACAAGAAAAGGAAGAGCAAGGAAAAATATAATTTCTGCATATGACCAGTGTCTTGAAATATCAGGAAATATCAGTAAATCGTCTCTGGGTTTAGAGGTAAAAACAGTACTGTTTTATCTTTCCATTTTTATTTATTTTTTATTAGTATATGTTTGTGATACATAATAATCACATTCATCTTGGGCAATTGGTACATACACAGTGCCAGGGGCTGGGGATTTAGCTCAGTGGTTCCACTGCCTGCTTTGCAAGCACAAGGTGCGGAGTTCCATCCCCAGTACCAAAAAAAGAGAGAGAGAGAGAGAGAGAGAGAGAGAGAGAGATGATCACACAGTGCTTCTGTTGTGGGGCGTGGGGAGAATGACTGAGACAGGGCCTTGCTATGTAGCCCAGAAGGCTGGCCTTGAACTCCCTATGTAGCCCAGGCTGGCTTCCAAGGCAGGGTGATCCTCCTGCCTCAGCCTCCTGAGAGCTGGGACTACAGGCTCGCACCACCACTGACTACGTTCTGCCCCTGAATCACCTGAGGACGCCGTATCGACGTAAGGCTATTGTTTACCGGGCGCCTGTGTGGCCAGGCCCTGGGGGGCCCTCCCACCTTAGCGTCCTCCCTCTCGCTTTGTCTGCGGCGGAGGGAGTCCAGAGAGCGGCCGTCCCCCGCGGGTCCAGTGCTTCCGGGCGCGGTGGGCCCGAGTCGCCATTCCAGCTC